TGACTTTGAAATCAAATCTCATATAATCAAATTTCTTAAAATTAACCTCAAATGATTAGCTAATCATTAACAATAGTGCATTTATTTATATATAAAACAAAAAAAATCAAAGAAATAACTCAGCTTACTAGTAGAGTAATAGATTCCTTTTGTATGTTTGCATGTTCATTTTTGTATACATTTGCTTTCATCTAGTTGTAAGCATTCACTACTTTAGGTTCATTTGTAGAGATAATTGAAAAGAAAGGGAATAAAAAAAGATTTATAGTGAGACTAGCTAAGAGATGAAAGAGATTAAATGGGAAGTAAGAGTACGTGAGAGGAAGAGAGTGAATCTGAGGTATGAGCCATATGACGGCTGTAGAGATAGTTTTAACTTTATGGGTTTGGTAGATATGTTTATTATATATGATTAAGAAAACAGTATATAGGGTTATTGGGCTTGATAAAAAAAAAAATGGGCCGCAAACTCCAATTAACTCTCATGGTATAAATAAAACTGATATAAAACTAATTAACCTGACCGGGTCCAAAAACTTAGGACTTGGAATTGGAATTGGTTGCAACTGAGTCCTTGTTTTTGGAACCGGACCCAGACCTAGTTGAACCAGTTCCGGGTCTGGTGACTCAACCGGTTCTAGTTTCGGAACCGGGTACCCATAATTTTGCTCACCCCTATTACTTGCAAGAAACTTTTTTTCCCCCTTTATAGTAAGTTTTTATGTGTGATTTTACAAAATTACCCTTTAGTTTTTTTTAAACACCCTAATTAAACTACTGATTTTCTCTTTTTCACTTAAACCCTAACATTGATTTACTTAATTATTTCCACCAAAATCATTCCCCTTCCGTCTAAATTCATACTCATCTTCATTGGCAACCACCACCACCACCACCACCGATCTTCGGTCTCTCTTAAATCAACTCAAAAATTTCTCTCTTTGTTCATCTCCCCTCAATTTGATCGCAATATTCTTGGAAACCACCACCGCTGTCAGAAGTCACTGCCCCTGTCCCTTTGCTTGTGGCCGCTTCCGTTTTCCCTCTCTTCCTCTTCTTGTTGTTGTTTCGTCATTGTCGGTGAAGCACATATTTGAAGGTTTTATGGTCAAATTTAACCATGAAAACTTTAAATCTAGAGTTTCGATGGTTAAATTTGACCAATTGAAGCTATACTTGATTATAGAGAAGGCATTAGTTTGTCATTTTTATCCTTTCCGTTCATATTTTTGGGTTCTGAGTTTTGGGGTTCTGGGTTTGAGTTCTGGATTCGAATTTTGGGTTTGAGTTTTGGGTTCTGGGTTGAGTTTTGGGTTGTGGGTTCTGGGTTTAGGGTTCATCAGATGTAATATTGGTGGTTCTGGGTTTGTGGGTTGTGGGTTTTGGGGTTGTGGGTGGTGGAGGGCTGTAGTTGTTCGTGCTGCTGGGTTGTGCGTGGGTTGTTCGTGCTGCTGGGTTCTGGTGGCCTGGTTTCGGTGTTCCGTGCTGTTGGGTGGTTGGTTTGCGCTGCTAGGTGGTGGTGTTGCGCTGCTAGGTGGTGGTGGTTGTGGCTGGTTTCGTGGTGCTAGATGATGGCGTTGGGTGGTTTCGTGGTGCTAGATTGTGGTGGTGGTTCGTAAATTCAAGTTGCTGGGTTGTGAACTTTGTTTTTTTTTTTTTTTGATTAATACTCGAGTGTATGCCCTTATTTTTCATTAATCATGCTTTCAATATTTTGCCTAGGAGTCCGCAATCTCCTAGTTTGTTGTGAGTAATTCGTAACGGAGGGAGTATATGAAACCTAATATGTAGATTCGTTGACCTTCAAGTTGAATCTTATTGTGTATGTGCTTGATTCTGAAATAACCTTGCCTTGTTTGGTAGGCAAAACGACTCGGGGCGCTGAACAAGTTCAAATCTGGCGATTGCAATATCCTCATTTGCACTGATGTAGCTAGTAGAGGGCTCGATATTCCTTCGGTGGATATGGTGATAAATTATGAAATTCCCAGTAACTCTAAGGTCAGTTTTTGCTGCTCCTGTAGATTAGCTAGTCTTCTGAGAACTCGGTTTGCTTATTGCTTCCAATGTATACTGGATGAAAACATTTCATATTCACTTGTTCCATTAGTGAAACTGTGAAAGTGCTTACTGACAGTGAGCAAAGTTCAATTTGAAGTTATACAGAGTAGACGTAGACAAATTGTTCTTGTGCTTAAGGCATGTGTTGTGAGTCATGTGACCGTGATGTAGTCAGTTTGCTTCCATTGTATTCATTTGACAATGTCATTATGGTTTCAGGATTACATACATCGGGTAGGGAGAACAGCTCGTGCTGGAAGGTCAGGGGTAGCCATCTCATTAGTAAATCAGTATGAGGTTGAGTATTATATCCAGATAGAGAAGTTGATAGGTGAGCAGCATTTTGTGTTCATGATAGCATTAATTTGTTTTCTTTGAGCCCTTCATTTATCATCTGAGATACAGGCAAAAAGTTACCGAAGCATCCAGCTGAGGAAGCGGAAGCACTGCTCCTGTCTGAACGTGTTAATGAGGCAAAAAGGATATCATATATGGTATATTAGCTTAAATCTGTTGTGTTCTTATGAGTTAGGTTTACAGTTTCCTTTGTGATTTAGATTATTCTCTGTTTGTCTTCTTTTTTGTGTCATGCTAGAAAAAATCTAACATATTACATTTTTGATCTTCTGATTACAATAAACTTTAATGAGTTTGCGACTAGGTTGAATTTACATTCATGATCCCTGTACATTGCCTGCTTCCCTGTATACTCGTTGAGATCATAAATAAATGGAATGCTAAATTCAAGACCCAATTTGACATTGTCACATCACTCACATGTAGTGTTTGACCTTCTGTGAACCTTGCTATTGGCATAAGCTAAAGATCCTTCTGTAGCATTGCTATGCTCCATCTTGATGCTTAAAATGGTTTTATGCTCTGAATGGATCTTTAATACGTAGTACATATCTTGTGGCTTCGTGTTTAGTGTGTTTCAGGTTTTTTTTAAAATTACTTTTAAAAAGTCTACATTAAGTTCAGGTTGGTGTTTTTAATATTGTGCTTTTTGCATCCACAGAAAGTAAAGGAATCTGGCGGGAAGAATAAAAGAAAAGGCAGGGGAGATGATGATGGTGAGGAAATTGAAAAATACTCTAGCAAAGGCAACAAAGGCGGTGGTAAAACATTCAAGAAGTCGAGGAGATGATGCTTTTTACTTGCAAAGACAAACATGAAGTATTAAAGTAGGGTTTACAAAGATTTTGTTAGATACTCTTCCAGGATAATATATAGGAAAAATTGATTCTAATAATCCCACCTTTAACCGATTCGCCATTAATAATCTCACCTTTAGATTATTATTTAATAATCCCACCTTTGTAGGGGATCTTCTTCTATTGGTCCCTAACCTGTTGGTAACCTGTTTTCATAGGTTAATATGCCATGTGTCGTTTTTTAATTGGTTGAAAAATAAAACTTAAAAAAAACAAAACTGAAAAACTAAAAAACAAAACTGAAAAAATAAAAAACTAAACCCACCAGCCACCCTCACCCACTGTGAACCCAAATGGTGGCCAAACCTTACCCTAGCCCCACCAAATACCGACCGGCTGCCACCCAAACCCCCGCAATTGGCCGGTCGAAACCACACATTACCGAAAACCACCCACGCCGACCAAAAGCAACCCCTAAAATCACCCTCGACCAGAATCCCATCCTCGAAAACCACCACAACCACCACCATAAAAACCCAACCCAGCCGCCAAAACCCCCCTTTTAACCGCTGAAAACCCCCTTTAACCGCCGAAAACCACCGTAAAACCCCGAAACTCTTACCCAAATTCAACCTCAAGCCATCCCTTGAAGAAATTGATTCATTGATTTTTTTTTTAATTCATTGATATTAAGGGGTTCAATGGTTTTCGTGGGTGTGAGGGTTGGAATTGGGTCGGTTTTTTGTAGGTAAGGGTGGGAATGGGTGGCTGTGGGGATGGGGGTTAGACGGTGGAGGAGGGGCTGTCGGAGTTTGTTAGGGCTGGCTGGGTTTTCAAAAAGAAAAAATTAGTTTTTAAAAAAAAAAAAAATTATTTACCAATTTTTGACCAATTATTTAGTGACACATGTCACTCAAATTAAAAAAAAAAGTTTACCCAATGTTCAGGTTACCGGTCATAAGGGACCAATAGAAGAAGATCCCCTACAAAGGTTGTATTATTAAATAATAATCTAAAGTTGGGATTATTAATGGCGAATCGGTTAAAGGTGGGATTATTATAATCAATTTTTCCTAATATATATACGAAGTATATTTTTTTTTCTGCCTATTTATTGACACTATTACTGAGATATACGACTAATACAAGCATGCTTATCGTACATCTATAAGAAAAGTCTAACTCTCTTCGGAGACATCTGATAAGAAAAGTCTATCTGCATCTTGTTGTCCATGAAGTTGCGTTCTCTTGTTTTTATTTGTCTAACTCTCTAAAATTTCTCAGTTATTGGAGGCTAGTGAGTAGTGAGCTCTAGTTCAAGCTTGCATACTCAACTCCCATCAGTCTAATCAGGTTCTTACCGAGTCGTCTCAAAGGACAAGTGTAGTTCAACTCATTTGACTTATTTTGTAGATAAAATGAACTTTAGGTGAATCCAGAAAAAATAATTCGAAGAAGAATTATGGTCTACTTTTTGAACTCAAACTCGACCATTTGTATCTAATAATGAATAATTCTAAAACTTAGAAGAGGAGGGAAGGAGAGGGAAATCAAGAATACTACATAATCTATAATTCTAGCTTTCAAATGGGGGAAAGTATGAAGAGACACTATGGACAACTATGGTGCAAGAGAAAGCCTACCAACTTTTACTAATTGGGTTTAAGTGTGATTAACTACAATAAATTCATTAAATTATGACTTTCTTGTACACTAATCCTTGAGAACAAAGTATCAAAAGACATGTTAAAGTATACTAACAATAAGTAAATATGAATAAGAAAGCAAGGAGTAGTTTTATTTTCGTTTGTTTTGTTCTGTCTTGGGCTTGCCAAATACGGAGTATGTAAATTATTTATGATTTTGATTATAAAAGTTGTGGTATTTTTTTTCCTTGCAAATCTTTTTTATTATCAATACCGTAGGACTATTATTTAATTTAATAATATTAATATTACTTACCGTTTAAAAAAAAAATTCAAGCTTATTGAGTTTAGGCTACTCTGATAATCCCCGTTTGGTATATGAGGTATTGAAGAAAGGGATAGAGAATGAGTTAAGTTAAAATATTGTCATAAAAAAGGAAAGAAGAGAAACGGATGAGCGCAGCCCTGCTTGTCTCTTTCTGAGTTTCCCATTGAAGCGCAACTCCACCTTCTCCATTGATGCAGCTTTCTGAAGTAAGTTGTTTCTTTTTGTAATCAATTTCACAATCTAATCTAGGGTTTATAGTTGATCTAATTTAGGGTTCCAATGTTATTTTGTACTTATTTAATTGAATCTGGACTTTTTAATTTTCGCTTCACGAATCACGATTGTAACCTTATGTTGAGTGGGATTTGCCTCTTTCATGTACTGTAATGAGTTTTGCTTTCATAGGGATGACTTTTTAATTAAAGTCTAGAATGCTGAAGATGAATTGATTAATCCGTATTGTGATTTCAATTACACTGTAATTGGCCTATCTAAACTTGTAATTAGAGTCTTGCTTACATTATCCTTTTCATACTGGAATTTAATTTGTTTGTTGCTACTGCTTTTAATGCTGCCAAAGTTTTTCATGGATTCTTATGTCCTTCCTTTTCCTTGTTATGTCATTTAATATTGACTACTTTTCAGTCAGTTATCTGTTATATATCTTAAGGCTCCTGCTCATAAATTTGATGCGGAAAAATTAAAAAAAAAAAATTCTACTTTATATAGCAACTTAGATACTGCTACTCGTTTCTGATGTAGGTACAAGAGCTATTATTATATTGGGGGTTGAACAAAGAGGGAACTGTAAATATCCTGGGAAAAACCAGCTGATTTCGTTTTCTATAGGGAAATGATCACAGTGTAGCCTCTTTGCCAGATTGCTCAAGCCTGGTTTGGAGGTACAATGAAGGCTCAACTTTGCATGTTTAGAACTCTGTTCACTGTTCAGAGTATTAAATTTGATTTCTGTAATTATTTTCGTAATACAAGTCCTTGCGTAAAGGCTGGTTTTTTCTCGACTACAACTAAAAGTTCGAGCAGATCATCTCCACTTGTAGGTGAAGGTGTGCAGGAAGTAATAACGTTTGTACAGTTCCCAAAATGCGCTACTGAAGTTTTGAGGAACTATGGTTGTAGTGAAAGCCAGATAAGTACTATTTTCTCCCGGCAGCCTTCATTACGCAATGCTATTCCCTCTTTACTTGAATCTAAGCTTTACTTGCTTCGTAAATTGGGTGTCTCATCCTCTGAGCTTGTCTCTATGGTCCACTGTCGTCCGCGCCTTCTGAGATGCCAAATTAACCGGCGCTTTGATGAACGTCTAAATGATCTACTATCTCTATTTGAGTCACGGGCTCTTTGTGTTAGAGCTATCATTAGGAATCCCTCACTTCTGATCTACGACTTTCATAAGACAGTCATACCTACATTTTCAGTGTATGAGAAAATGGGTCTCAGTAAAAGCGAAGTGATTTCCATGCTCTTGCTTAGGCCTACGTTAACTCAGAGAACCAATATGAGCCCAGAGAAACTAGATTACATACGTAGGACTGGAATCTGCAGTGATTCAAAAATGTACAAGTATGTGGTCACAATAATTGGTGTATCACGCTTCGAGACTATCCGTGAAAAGGTTGCAAATCTTGAGAAGTATGGTTTCTCAGAGGATGAGGTACTGGCATTTATTGGTCGACAGCCATTATTGATGACTCTTTCAGTGGAAAAAGTTCGACGACATATGACTTTTATAATGGGTACTATGAAGTTGCCACAGAGCATTATTTGTCGTTATCCATTTCTGTTGTTCTGTAGTTTGGAAACAATACTGAGGCCCCGGGTGCTCTTGGTTAGTAAAATGCGAGAAATGGGTCTCGGTCCACAAGTAAATCAAGCTGTAATGATAACGGCATTGAGGATGTCTGAAAAGAGGTTCTTGAAGAAGTTTGTTGGATGCCAAGAGGAGGAAGTCAGAAAAGAGTTATTGTTGTATTATGGAGCTTCAAAAGGCATCAAGCGGTTGGCAGAATCATCAAAGAAGACTTCTTATACCTCTGGGTTTCCCTTCTGAAGGCGACTCTCAGATCTTTTTTTGGATACATCAAATTACAGTTTTGGTAGGTTAATTGTATTGTAATAATTTGATTTATCCAATTTCATAACAAAAGAAACTATGTGGTGCATAGTCCCTTCATTGCTTGTCTTGTTTTCATCAAGAATGTTTTAGCTTCATCAATACCTACTAAGCTGCTACCTCTTAATTATGGAGGTGCTGGTACTGTGGCTGATGATTGAAAACATACGAAACATTGTAATTTCTACTCACTTGTGCAAGCTTATGAGCAAACCAGTTAAAACCAATGTAATGCAGGCAAAAAATAATTTGGAAATTAAATTATACTGTAGTGTAATGACTACCCAACAAATTTTTTGTAAGAACCTTAATATTTTTTAGAATGTTTCATGTGCTAATTGTCATGCCTCACATTTAGAGAAATAAAAACAAGCTATTATGCTTGTGGCATATAATATACTTTAGTTTTCTACAACAGGAAAATTTGACAGATATTTTGTGACAATATTTGTGGATCGATGACAGGAACAAGTCCATCAACATGATCACTGAGCTCTTCACCTCTGGGGATTTACGACAGTACAGTGAGAAACATAAGTGTCTTGGCGAATCATAAGACTTAGTTATGAAGCTCTGCGCTGGGTTGAAGGGGCTTAGCTAGCTATCTTGTCGATACTAATTGGAAGGCAATCAAGAACTGGGCGAGAGAGATCCTTAAAGGGTTAGACTATCTTCACAGTCATAATACACCAATTATTCACAAGGATATCAAGTGTGAGAATAGTTTTGTTAATGGTTATTCAGGCCAGGTTAAAATTGGTGATTTTGGACTTGCAACTGTTCTGGAACATGGTACAGCTTTATGTGTTACAGGAACCCCGGAATTTATGGAACCCGAGTCTTATGATGAGGAGTATAATCAACTAGTGGATGTATATTCTTCTGGGATATGCAAGCTGCAGATGATCACCCGTGATAAGCCGTATGGTGAATGCAGTAAAGTATCCTCTGGTGAGGAACTTCATTGACCAGTATATGGCTTCAGTATCAGAGAAACCGTCTACTAAAGACCTCTTAAAGGATTCATTCCTTGCATCCATGTCAGGCAATTTGTGCGTACCAAATGCAGTCCTTCTCTGACGGAATTTGTGTGCTTGGGCAGTTCTCTTCTTACAATTATTGCTCCTATTGAAGTTTTTCAAGCGTAGATAATAGCCTTCAATTTAAGATTTTTTTGACCATTTTTCGCCCGGAAATAAAAATTACCAAGATGTTTACCAAGGTCCCTAATATCCTCCGGGAGTCCAATTGGGTTGGTGGAACCATCCAATTTGCCTTAAAACGGTCAATTTAACCGTTTGAAACTTATACCGATTTCGAGAACTCAAGCCCATCACATACATTTTTGACAACATATAATATTCATATATGATTCCAAACGCATTATATGACCCTAAGACGTATCCCCTAAGGTTTAAGGACTTGTCGCCACCGGACCCCGTAACATAAAAAATTCCTCAAAAAGCATGAATAATATAACCTTCAATTTTGGAATTTTTTAACCATTTTTCGCTAAGAAGTAAAAATTGTCGAGATGTTTACCATGTTCTCTAATACCCTCCGGGAGTCCAATTGGGTGGGTGAAACCATCAAATTTGCCTTAAAACGGTCAATTTACTTGTTCGAAACTTGTACCGATTTCGTGAACTCAAGCCTACCACGGACATTTTTGACAACATATAATGGTAATATATGATTCTAAACGTCATTGTATATCTCTAAGATGTAACCCCAAGGGTCTAAAGACTTTTCGCCACCAGGCCTCGTAACGTATAAAATTCCTCAAAAAGCGTGGATAATAGCCTTCAATTTTGGAATTTTTTTTGACCTTTTTACGCTTGAAAATAAAAATTGCCGAGATGTTTACCATGGTCCTTAATACTCTCCAGGAGTCCAATTGGGTGGGTGGAACCATCTAATTTGCCTTATTACGATCAATTTACGCGTTCGAAACTTATATCGATTTCGTGAACTCAAGGCTACCACAGACATTTTCGACAACTTATAATGGTAATAAATGATTCTAAATGTCATTATATGTCCCTAAGATGTATCCCCTAGGGTCACAAGACTTTTCGACACCGGGCCCGTAACAAAAAAAAATCCATAGAAGCTTGGATAATAGCCTTCAATTTTGGAAAATTTTGAGCTTTTTTCGCCCGGAAAAAAAAAATTGCGGAGATGTATACCTATGTCCCTAATGCCCTCCGGGAGTCCAATTGGGTTGGTGGAACCATCTAATTTGCCTTATCACGGTCAATTTACGCATTCGAAACTTGTACCGATTTCGTGAACTCAAGCCTACCACGGACGTTTTTGACAACATAAAACGGTAATATATGATTCCAAATGTCATTATATTTCCCTAAGATATATCCCCTAGGTTCTCAAGAGTTTTTGCCACCGAGCCCTGTAACATAAAAAAATTCACAAAAAGCGTAGATAATAGCATTCAATTTTGGAATTTTTTTTATCACTTTTCGCCTAAAAATAAAAATTGACGAGATGTTTATAATGGTCCTTATAGCTTCTGGGAGTCTATTAGGGTTGGTGGAACCATGTAATTTTCCTTTAAACGGTCAATTTACGCGTTCGAAACTTGTATCGATTTCTTGAACTCAAGCTTACCACGACCATTTTTGGCAACATATAATGGTAATATATGATTCCAAACGTCATTATATGTCCCTAAGATGTATCCTCTAAGGTCTCAAGACTTTTCGCCACCAGACCCTGTAACATGAAAAATTCCTTATAAGGCATGGATAATAACCTTCATTTTTTGAATTTTTTGACCATTTTTTGCCCGAAAATAAAAATTTTCGAAATGTTTACCATTGTCACTAATACCCTTCGGGAGTCCAATTGGGTCGGTGGAACCATCTAATTTTCCTTATTATGGTCAATTTACGCGTTCGAAACTTGTATCGATTTCGTGAACTCAAGCCTACCACGGACATTTTCGACTACTTATAATGGTAATAAATGATTCTAAATGTCATTATATGTCCCTAAGATGTATTCCTTAGGGTCTCAATACTTTTCGCCATCGGGCCCGTAATATAAAAAATTCCTCAAAAAGCGTGGATAATAGCCTTCAATTTTGGAATTTATTGAGCTTTTTTCTCTCGGAAAAAAAAATTGCAAATATGTTTACCTGTGTCCCTAATTCCCTCCGGGAGTCCAATTGGGTTGGTGGAACCATCTAATTTGCCTTATCACGGTCAATTTACGCATTCGAAACTTGTACCGATTTCGTGAACTCAAGCCTACCACGGACGTTTTTGACAACATAAAACGGTAATATATGATTCCAAATGTCATTATATGTCCCTAAGATATATCCCCTAGGTTCTCAAGAGTTTTCGCCATCGAGCCTCGTAACATTAAAAAAATTCACAAAAAGCGTAGATAATAGCCTTCAATTTTGGAATTTTTTGATCACTTTTCGCCTAAAAATAAAAATTGATGAGATGTTTATAATTGTCCCTAACACTTTTCAGGAGTCTATTAGGGTTGGTCGGTGGAACCATCTAATTTGCCTTTAAAAGGTCAATTTACGCATTCGAAACTTGTATCAATTTCTTGAACTCAAGCTTACCACGACCATTTTTGACAACATATAATGGTAATATATGATTCCAAACGTCATTATATGTCCCTAAGCTGTATCCTCTAAGGTCTCAACACTTTTCGCCACCAGACCCCTGTAACATGAAAAATTCCTTAAAAAGCGTGAATAATAGCCTTCATTTTTTTGAATTTTATGACCATTTTTCGCCCGAAAATAAAAATTGTTGAGATGTTTACCATGGTCTCTAATACCCTCCGGGAGTCCAATTGGGTGGGTGGAACCATTAAATTTGGCTTAAAACGGTCAATTTACCGGCTCGAAACTTGTATTGATTTCGTAAACTCAATCCACCGCAGACATTATTGAAAACATATAATGGTAATATATGATTCCAAACATCATTGTATATCTCAAAGATGTAACCCCTTTGGTCTCAATACTTTACGCCACCGGACCCGTAGCATAAAAAAATTCTCAAAAAGCGTGGATAATATCCTTCATTTTTGGAATTTTTTTTACCTTTTTACGCCTGAAAAAAAAATTGCGGAGATGTTTACCTGTGTCCCTAATGCCCTCCGGGAGTCCAATTGGGTGGGTGGAACCATCTAATTATCCTTATTACGGTCAATTTACGCATTCGAAACTTGTACCAATTTCGTGAACTCAAGCCTACTATGGACGTTTTTGACAACACAAAACGGTAATATATGATTCCAAATGTCATTATATGTCCCTAAGATATATCCCCTAGGTTCTCAAGAGTTTTCGCCACCGAGTCTCGTAACATAAAAAAAATTCACAAAAAGCGTAGATAATAGCCTTCAATTTTGGAATTTTTTGATCAATTTTCGCCAAAAAATGAAAAATTGACGAGATATTTATAATGGTCCCTAATACCTTCCGGGAGATCTATTAGGGTTGGTGGAACCATCTAATTTTCCTTTAAACGGTCAATTTACGCGTTCGAAACTTGTCTCGATTTCTTGAACTCAAGCTTACCACAACCATTTTTGACAACATATAATGGTAATATATGATTCCAAACGTCATTATATGTCCCTAAGATGTATTATCTAAGGTCTCAACACTTTTCGCCACCAGACACTGTAACATGAATAATACCTTAAAAAGTGTGGATAATAGCCTTCATTTTTTGAATTTTTTGACCATTTTTCGCTCGAAAATAGAAATTGTCAAGATGTTTATCATGGTCTCTAATACACTCCGGGAGTCCTATTGGGTGGGTGGAACCATCAAATTTGCCTTAAAACGGTCAATTTACCCCCTCGAAACTTGTATTGATTTCGTGAACTCAATCCACCGCAGACATTATTGACAACATATAATGGTAAGATATAATTTCAAACGTCATTTTATATCTCAAAGATGTAACCCCTAGGGTCTCAAGACTTTTCGCCACCGGGCCCCGTAACGTAAAAAATTCCTCAAAAAGTGTGGATAATAGCCTTCAATTTTGGAATTTTTGAGCTTTTTTATCCCGAAAAAAAAATTGTGGAGATGTTTACCTGTGTCCCTAATGCCCTCCGGGGGTCAAATTGAATTGGTGGAACCATCTAATTTGCCTTATCATGGTCAATTTACGCGTTCGAAACTTATATCGATTTCGTGAATTAAAGTCTATCACGAACATTTTCGACAACTTATAATGGTAATAAATTATTCTAAATGTCATTATATGTCCCCAAGATGTAACTCCTAGGGTCTCAAGAC